TTTTTCTCCAGTATTTTTCTGGACAAAGTAATGATCAAGAAAATAAATCAATTTCAGTGCTGACCCCCAACTACTGGCTCCTTCCCAGGAATCCCGAGTCTGCCCTCCACAACCAATCCTGGGCTCTTCCTAGGGAGAAAGTGAGCAAAACTGGTAATATCCCTGGGCCACCAATCTTTGAGAACTGCGCACTTCTAAATCAATACAGAATTGGAAAACTTTCTAATAGCGATGGCCAGCATCCTTCCTGATCCTACCCTCTGTAAATAAAAAAATAACTTCCAAAATATGGTCAAAACTATGAGTTCAGAATTTTGCACCCATCACTCAAGTTTGGCAATGCTTTCCTTCAGTTGGGTCAAAGCTTAAAAGAAGTAAAATAAACATTTATTTGGAACTGAAGTATAAACCTAACATCTCATAAACGAGGAAAGACGTAAGCATACAGAGGACCACTTGGTCGGGGGGAGCGGGGAGGGAGGGGGAAAATGAGGACCTAATGTCGGGGGTTTAAGTGGAGAGAAAATGTTTTGAGAATGATGTACAAATGTACTTTACGCAATTGATTGCGATAACAGTTGTATGAGCCCCTAATAAAATGTTTAAAAAAAAAAGGCAGAGGACCACTTGGTATTAAAACATCACTGGTGAGGAATGGTGAGAAAGATAATAAACGCAAATAACAATATTCTCTCTCACGAGTCCTCCAGCTGACTCCTCTCCAAAAGTCAAAAGGGTGAGAGACACCTTAAAGACGCTGTATGCGCTGCCAGGTCAAGTGCTGGCTGACTGACAGGAAAGTTGGCGGTTCAAACCCGCCAGTCGCTCCAAGTGAGAAAGACGAGGCTGTCTGCTCCCATTAAAGATTTACAAAGTCAAACAACAATGAGGTACCACCTAACACCCACAAAGGTAGCCCAATTCAAAAAATCAGAAAGCAATAAGTGTTGGAGGGGCTGTGGGGAGACAGGAACTCTCATCCACTGCTGGTGGACTTGTAAGTATGTACAACCACTATGGAAATCGATTTGGCGATATCTAAAACA